AAAAACATAAGCTGGGCGGGGTGGTACATACCTGTCATCCCAGCACTCAGGCTGAGACAAGGGATCACAAATTTGAGCCTACTTTGGGCAATTTAGTGACTTATGGGGATCTTGTCTGAAAAAAATGACTGGCTTCATGCCGAGCACATTGCGGAGTGCAGACAGAGCGTGTAGGCACCTCACTGTGCAAATAGAAGCAATGTCCTTTTCTTGTAGAAGTACTGCATTTATGAAACCAGATTAAATTTAGAGATCTTGGGATTTGTATTTATTTGCCACGATGAATACTAACATTAGGTATTTGAGTCCTTAATTTTAAAAAAAGCTAATTATTTTCGTTGACAAGTAAAATTTGCATGCATTTATCAAGTACAACATGCTATTTTGGATTATGTGTGCATCATGGGAACAGCTAAATCGAGCTAGTTAATATACGTATTACGCCACATGCTTTGTATTTTTCTGGGTAGATTCTCACTTTCGTTGCCGTGCATTTTGCTTAGCTGGTAGCAGATGCACTGCCATCTTGGGTCCCAGTAGAGCTTTCCTGCCTTTCTTGTTCAAAAAGGAATATGCTGGCTGTAAACATTCCATGAGAAAATATTAGTAGCAAAATAGTAAAGATCTTTGTGGCTGAACTCCAAGGTATTTTAGTAATATGTATCTCATTACAAACTCCAAACGTGTTCACTGTAGGAAGTTTAGACAATATGGATCAGCCATAGAAAGAAAATTAAGGGCCAGGGATTTAGTTCAGTGGTTCTGCCACTTGCCTTGCAAGCACAGGGACCCGAGTTCGATCCCTGGTACCAAAAAAAAAGAAAGAAAGGAAAAAAAAAAAGAAAAAGAAAATTAAAATCTTGCTTCTAAAGGCATCTAGGTCTGATCTAAATCAGGTTGAACTATAGAAAGTACAGATTTTAGGCGTCAAAAATTTTTGAATATTGACAGTTTTATACGGCAGAGGACACAGAACAATTTTTATTTTGTGATTTTTCAAATTGAATTTCAGATACAGATAAGAATAGCTTTCCTCCAAAGATCAGGGATAATTTTTTAATTTTTTTTTTTTTTTTGGTACTAGATATCAAACTCAGGACCTTGAGCCTGCAAGGCAGGTGCATTGCCACTGAGCTAAATCCCTGGCCCAGATCAGAGATAATTTTGATAGACTTGCTATTTTATTTTCAGTACCTTGCTCAGGTAGCAGTATGCTATGAATTGCTGAATGGTCAAGTTACTTTTAGTGTATTGTAGTAGAAGCAGCTGAAATCTGGAGTCGTGTTAAGTTAGAGATGAGTAACTCTGGAACAAAGGGTAGAGCATACTTTAAGAACTGGGAACAGCAAGATCGTAGGCAGATGTTAGCCACTTCCCTAGGCTCTGTCTTGTCCTGAATTCTGCTCTGTGATTATCAACTCAAAGCTTACTTCTTAGTGCTTCAGTGTTGAATTTAACTATGAAGTTATCCATCATTTATCAACAGAAACCAGCTTTCTGTGAGGGGAGGCGACCAACTCTCTGTTTTCTTGCAGGGCATCTTGAACAGCACGTTAAGCACTGTTTCCCCAGGGTCAAATAAGCATGGAAATTCCTGACCCAGCTAGTCACAGACAGAATTTGTAAGCTGCAAGGAGACAATCATGGTTGTTTTTTCACAGGCACTTTTTGTTTTAGCTGAACAAACTCCTTTTTTAAATTGCTATGGAGTGGGAAGATGGAATGCTCAGATTGCCTTAGGAACACGGTAAAGGTTCATACTCATTTCATGCTTAGGATAAAAGCCAGGTCTAGAGTCTTAGAAATCCTGTGGGATAACAGAACATTCCTACTGTGCATTTGAAGCATTATAGAGTTGTGAACTAAAAAAGGTAAGACTTTACTTAAATCTTGCTGTCACTGCTGTGATCTGTGGCCTTGAGCAAGTTGTCATGCCCTGATGGTCAGTTGCCTTTTATGTCACTCAGGTTGTATATAAAGCTTTCTAGACCAGTCTCGAAATGCTTTTGTCAGAGTCAGTTATTGAATGTGAGTACATTAAGCAGTCTAGTTTGATACCATGTATTTATAGTTTATCACTATATATTTAATTTATAAAGTATAAATTACTTATAATTTTATTTATAGTACACATTTATTTATAACTTTATACATTTATTATAATTGCATTTGTGTGTGTGTATATATATAACATGTTCTTTTTTGGGGGGAGGTACTGGGGATCGAACTTGGGACCTTGTACTTGCGAGGCAGGTGGTAGAACCACTGAGCTAAATCCCCGGCCCTGCATTTATAATTATAATTGACTCCTGTCAAACACAATTCTCTATCCTTACACAGCCTGACAGAATGGATTATGGTATCCGTGATTTTCAGGTGGTTTTTAGGTCCAGAAAATGTTGCTAGTATCTGTGTTTGATGAGAGATGAGAACATAGATCCTGAAAAACTATAGGTTGGTCATTTCTTCGGGACAAGGATAAGAAGCATTGGGAATCTGGAAACCAGGGGAAAGTTTCTGGAGTACATGTATCATTTGACCCAGCAGTTCTCCTCCTGCACATTTGTTTGTGGATATACTTATGTGAATGCAGTATAGTATATTTACAGGGTTATTTATTTCAGCATAGATTGCAATAGCAAATACTAGAAACAACCTGTAATTTATCAGTAAGGAGTAGGTTCTTAGATTATGGTACTTCTAAATAATGAAATAATCTGTAGCTAGTAAAATGAATGGGGCAACACTGATCTTTTAAGGTAATATTTCTGAGAAAAATAAGGTCTCATACAGTGCTCGGTGCTCGGTTATGCTACCTTTTGTATTAAAATGGAGAGAAATAAGCATATATCTTTATCATTACTTATATGTATGTAAATAACTGGAAGAATATGCTGGAAATTAGATTTGTTTAATCTGGGGGCAGGGTAAAATCTGTGAGAAAAATGAAAGAGATGGAATGAAGTCACTGTGTGAATGGTTATTTTTTAAATACATTCTGGACCATGTAAATTATTATTTATTCAGAAAATTAAAAGGTGTGTTGCAATGTGAAAGGAGGTGAAGTTGTGAGAGGCACAGTGAATAATCTATTGACTAGCAGGCAGGTCATATCCATGAAAATACATTGGAATAATAGAACCTTTGTTTCTTGTAGGCTTATGGTCAAGGCTTAAAAAGAAATTTTTTAGGCTGGTGAGGAAGATGCCGTTTCTTGGTAGCAAGGTAAGTGGCTGCTATTTAGGCCTTTCTTCCCCACCTTGGTAATCATAACTCTTTCTTCCTATTTGCTAAACTTGCTGTTCACAGAGGAGAGGCTGATTCTGTCTCCCACCTCCAGGGGACATTGGCAGTGTTTGGAAACAGTCTAGGTTGCCATGACTCCAGTGGAGTACCACTGGCGTCTAGTGGGGAGAGGCTGGGGTGTCTGAAATACTGTACCTTGCACAGCATAGCCCTACAGCAGAGATTCATCCTCTTAAGATGTTAAATGGCGAAGGTTGGGGAAACCTTGACTTAACCATTTCTTCAACATATAATGAGAGATCTGTTGAAGAAGAGTAATTTGAAATTCGAAAATTTGACTAAAGTGTTATTCTTTTTTTTTCTCCAAACTTTATCCAGTTTTATTAAAGATACTTTTCATAAATAGCCATGGTATTTCAGGCAGGACATGGGCACACAATTGTTAAGAGTATACAGTAACTTTCAAACTCCCTTCTTGGATGGACTACCAAAGATCAGAAAACCACTATAAAATCCAACAAAGTCTTCATTTGATGCTCTGAGTAGGAAAAGCTTAGAGTGAGGGTTGACACTTCACTTTTAGCATGTTGTTTAACACCTTTCACAAGCCGACCCTGATTTTCAGAAAATGAAATGAAAGTGGCAGAATTGGTCTGAAGATCTGCCGTCTAGCAGAGGAAACCATTGGTCTTATGGGACAGCATCTCAACGTCACTGGCAAATCCAGAATGCGTAACACACTGGCAACATCCATTTTTGGCACTCAGGTCTCAATAGGTCTCTGGGCTTAAGGGAGTTAAGTCTGTGCTGATGGCAGAGGGAAGGGGGACATAAATGAACGGGAGTTTACCTGTACCACAAGGTATTTGTGCCGAGGTGGTTACAGGGACTCCCTCCTCCTGGGAGCCAAGAGGAAATTTCTGAAAACTAGCAGGGAAAGGTGCTTTCCCACATCAGTCCAGCTTTGGAAACATTGTACTAGTGACATATGCTCCTTCCCCAGAAAACAACAATGAAGTGTTCTTTGTGCTAACAACATAACTTTTAAAAAAGTAAGATGAAATTCTGCATTTTTATAAAACTTGATAAAAAATAATATTTCAAACTGTACAGTCACCAGAAGTACACAGTTGTCAAAAATGCACACACTTCACTTGGCACCACCAGAGCCTTCAGCTTTTTGTGCCTGGTCTGTTTTTGCATCTCCATTTTCTGCAGGGTCATTCCCATCCTTGTCAGCATCAGCTTTCCCCCTTTTCCTTTGGGTACCCTCTTTCCCTTCTTTGCAGGGGCCTTTTCAGGTTTGGAGGAGCTGGTTTCGCAGGCAGCCTTGCAGATCTTATCTTCTCTGTGGTTTGTCCTTCACCTTGGCTTTGTTGCCTTCTGCGTCCCCTTCAGCCTTTTTCTTGGGCGTGGTGGTGATGGATGCAGGCACTGGATGTGAGATGCAGCGGCGTGCGGTTTTGGTCAATCCGGGTGTCGTTCTCGCCTCTTCTTCACACTGCTTGACTCCCTAAAGTGTTATTCTTAATTTTTTTTGGTACCGGGGATCAAACTCAGGACGTTACACTTGTCAGGCGGGGCAGTGCCATTGAGCTACATCCTTGGACCTGAAGTGTTATTTATTTATTGGTGCTGGGGATTGAACTCAGGACCTTGTGCTTGTGAGGCAGGTGGCAGATAAAGTGTTATTCTTTGAAACACTATTTGGATGGGCTAAATTTAAATATTAGGGATTAAATTGGGTTAGCCAGCTTTCTGTAAAAGACTGGACAGGAAACATTTTAATCTCTGCAAGCTGTGTAGTGTCTAGAAGCAAGAAGAGGATGGGTTGTAAGGAATGAGCCTGAGTATATTTCTGGGAAACACTATTCCCAAAAAACAGACTGGCTTTGGCCCTTTGCTATAGTTTTCCCGCCCTAGGTTTAGAAACTTAAAAAGATAAGGTATTCCCTTGCTCTTTGCACTGCTTGCTGTCTTCAGTGCTTCCTCTTTGCCCTCACCCACACTGAATAAGATATCCCCTGTGACCTTTTTTATTGCAGGCAGGTGATGATAAACAGGGCAGATCCTGTGCAAGTGGTAAGGTAACCAGAGGTGTCCTTGGTGCTGTCCTCTCCCCGAGCAGCCTGCCCTGCTCCTCAGCTCTCCTTTGGTTCTATTCCAGCTTAACCAGCCTTCAAGTTTTCTTTTACTTTTGGCCTTAAGTGTCCTGGGGTGAGGAAAGAAATGTTACTGTGTCACAAAGGATAGCAGGATTTCCCCTTTGCATCCCTGGATGTTTTCTGTTTTTATCCTTCTCACTTAGTCCTTCCATTTCACAATTTTGAGACAAGTAAATACACTGAAAGATCCTTTGAGATGGCCCTGTATTTTTTCAAAAGCAGATTCTGAGGCTTAGAGAAAAGTTACCTCAGTTGTCCGCTTATTACCACATTTGTCGAGCACTTGCTCAGTGCCAGGCACTTTTTTGAGTGCTGAGGTGATGGTGGTAAACAAGATCAAGCCCTGCCTGTTGTGGAAGTTATGCAGTATTTCAGTAGAAAAGACAGAACACAAATGAATATATAATAATTTCATTTTGAAATAAATGTTTTGAAGAAATTTAAATTGACTAGTGGGTTAGAACCTGTGAGGCAAGGACTGGGGGTGAGAAGGCACTCACCAAGCTCTCCAATAGTCCTGTCACTGTACATTTCTTTTGGTCTGTTTTTTTTTTTTTTTTTTTTTTTTTTTTTGACAACAGCATAGTCGGTGCATGGAAGTTCACATAGTTTGCTCCTATTTATGTGGTCACCATGGGTGCAGTGTAATTTTTTTGTTTCCAACTCTACAGACATTTCCACTCCATATTACCAAAGGGTGTGAACTCTGCTGCCTGCTGGTGCTGGCATGATAGGCTGTTGTAGACATGCTTCAGAGGAGTGGCTTTCCTTGTGGTTTTGTTGGGAGCACATTTAAGACTTTAATCATCAGGGACTAGGGCTGAGAAAACATAAGTAGTTCAGAGTGAGATTTTGGACCAGGCGTGGTGGCACACGCCTGTAATTCCAGCACTTGGGAGGCTGAGGCAGGAGGATTGCTTTGAGTTCGAGACCAGCCTGGGCCACATAGTGAGTTCCAGGGCAGTCTCACCTACATTGTGAGACCCTGTCTCAAAAACAAAACAAAATAAAACAAAAACAGTGAGATTTTGGGCATCACAGTTTAATAAATGCATTGCTGAAAGCCATAGCATTTTGTCATGTAGCCTCAAATTTGCCACCCAAAAATCTTTTAACCTAAGTAGTGGCCCCTGCTGTTCTGCTTCCCTCCTTACTCTGCTCCACAGATTCTTCCCCCTCTGATCCTGAACTTTGTCTTATGTGACTTTCATTTTCTGTCTCTCTTGCAAAAGTAAGACTCACGAGACCAAGAGGTTTTACCACTGTGTACCCACTACCTCAGTTTGTTTTGTTCACTGTGTGTCCTTGGGCTGCAGTTCAGCAAATATTTGCTAACCAAGTGAGTGAGTGAATGAAAGCGAATGGCTCCCAGGTTGCCATTATAAGGATGAAAGAAGTAACCACAGCTGACAAATTACAAGTAGTAGAAAGACCCTCATTCCTCCTAGCATTTCCGAGTCAGACAATACACACTGTCGGCAGCAGCTTGAGAATTAATGCAGCCATTCTGGCAGTGCTCCATGCTGTGTGCTTGTGCACAGGAGCTTGTTTGGGACCTCCAGATTCCAGGTGTGCACTGTGCGTATCAAAGTGGCTTATCACTTGCGTAACGACTGGAGTCCCTTTTACTGCATCATGGCTGGCTGCATGGCTCTGCCTTTGATGCTTTCATGCATATGGGTACATTTGTAGCTGCTCCCAAGGCTACAAATACTGAGGTACAAATACTGCATGAAGATGAGTGCTGACTTCAGCAAATGCAAACCAAGTAAAGCAGTGCTGATGTCAACATGGCAGAGAAAAGGTGTGAGGAAATTCAGTAACTCTTTGACTGTTAGAAAGTTGACTTTTTTTTTTTTTTGCCCCCTAGAGGTCAAACCTAGGGCCTTGTGCTTGTGAGGCAAGCACTGTATCACTGAGTTAAATTGCCAGCCCCCAAAGGTTGGCTTTTTAAAATTCTCAGAGGCTGTTGCACATGCTGGCTAAACAGTCAAAAGATCTAAACTCTTTAAGAAAGAAATAGCATCCCAGTTCAGTAGCCCGTGTGTAATGCCGAGCATTGGGCAGTTGATTAGGTGTCATACTGGCCTCTGCTTTCTGAACTACATCCTTTCATCTTGTTTCCTTTTTTTCTTATGCTTGAAGATTCAGAAAGAATTAGACAAGATCACGAAGGACCTTGGGAAGCACTTGCAGTACCTGAAAGTGGATAAAGACTATGTGAGAGTCCTGCCAGCCCAGGGTCTGAGCACAACAGCAGTCTTGGAGAGACTCAAGGAGTACAGCTCCATGGGTAAGGCATTTGGGGTAGGCGTGCTGCTGCCTCCTCAGTGTGGCTGCTTTTGCTGTCCTTTACTGCTTGCTTAGGAGGTTAAGAATAACTCATCCCTGCTCCCTGGGTTCAGGAGGACCCACTCTTGTTTCAAGGACTGAATTTCATATTTGAAAAATTTAGATTCATCTTTGTATTTTCTTTTGTTTTGTTTTAGAGACAGCGTCTTGCTATACAGTTGAGACTGCTCTTGAACTCACTACGTAGTCTAGGCTGGCCTCACGTGCAGCAATCCTCCTGCCTCAGCCTCCCTCCCAGTGCTGAGATTAGAGGTGTGCACCACCACATCTAGCTCATCATTTATTTGTTTAAAGCATTCAAATCTCAGAGAGAGTGGAATTTAGTTTCATTTCTTTTTGTAAACATGAATAAAATAGATATATTTGTGTTTTTAGAAAGAATCTAAATAGAAATGAAATACAGGTTTATGGAATCGCTATGAAAGTACAAAAGAAAGTCACTAGAATGCCATCATCCAAAGAGGAACACAGATGATCCATATCTTGGTAGACCTAAGTGGATAGATCCGTTTAGGTCTGTATCTAGAGGTGGACTGTAGGGATCTGTGTGTGTCTCAGCACGTCAGCAGTGTTTGTGTGAGCTTATACATACATACGCATGAGAACCCGAGGGAAGGAGAACACCAGGTAGCTCAACGTTTAAGAGTATAAGCCGTGAGTTAGCCTGGATTCACAGCCTGGTTTTGCTGCCTGAATTGTCACCTTCGGAGAGTTATTTACCTTCTCTGTGCCACATTTTCTGTGTCTCTGCAATCTGCTTTCCTGAAAGGATGATTAAGGGGATTAAATGAGATCATACATAGAAATGTTGTATGGTGCCTCACATGTTGGATGGTACCTAATGTTTAATACATGTTAACTACTTTTGCTGTTAATACAAACATACATGATTTTTAGATTATGTTCATATTATAAATACTTTTTTAAAAATAAGCTTTTTAGTTTGGCCTAATTTTAGATTTAACAGAAAAAGAGCAATGATGATGTAGAGATTTCCGGTGTGCCCTTCATTCATCTCCTGATATTAAGAACTTCCATAGCCATGGTACATTTATCAAAGCTAAAAAATGAACATTGGTATGTGCTGTTGCCCAAACTATAAATTCTGTTTAATCAGTTTTCCTATAAATACCCTTTTGTCTGTTCTAATATCCAGTCTAGGATACCACATTGTGTTTCTAATCAATACGTGCTGAATTCTCGACCTTGGATGTGATGATACAGTTCAGGAGTTAGTGCCTGTGATCTGTATATGAAAGAGTTCTGTTATTACGAGGGCTGGTTGCTGTCATCTGATTTTTTTCCCCATTAATTTCTAAATCATGTCACTTGTCCTACTCTCTAGCAAAGGAGAAGAATAGGCCACGAGGCCAATAGCCCATTCTTGAAAGGCTGGTGGTCTGCATAAGACGTGCATAATACAGCAGTGTCGTTCAGGGGCAGAGAGAAATTCAAACTGGTAGCAGGCTGGAGCTCTGCAGTTGCTGCAGGAGAGGGGGACGTCTGCGTATCTTCTGCTCAGCCTTCTGCTGTCTTGCTAACCTGAAGAAGAGTTTTGCTTTGTAGGCCCGTGACTACCATATTTGCATTTTCAGTTCCTGTATTCCGTGATAGCTTTCTCACTGCCCACTTTCAGTAGGGCACAGCTATGTTGCAACAAAAAGACCCAAAACACCCACATAAATAGATTTGTTGGTATAATGTAGAATATCTCTGTAGGAACACCAGGACCAGGATGTGGAAAGTCTGACCCTGTTTTCCGGTCAGGAGCCGTTCTCATCTTTCTCCCAGGGGTGACTGTGTGCCTGATCTTGAATGCTATGGCATACCTTACTGGTCACGGGTGGCTACTTCTGTCTGGGTTCCAGGCTTGGGAGATGGAAGGGTCCTGAGATGGGTGCATGTGACTCATCCTTCATCAATGGCTCCACTGATGATAGTGTACGAGATTCCACACTTTGGTCTCGCTCTTTTCTGTCACCTTTGTTCACATTAGCTCCCACACTTCCTGTGACTGGATGGGAAGGGAAATAAGGAAAAGGTCACTTTAAAGCTATGTAGAGAACAGAAAATAAGTATAGGCAAAGGATAGTTTTTCTGCTGGGAGAAGGCTGGTGAGGATGAGGACAGCATTACACTGGACTATCTTTGTTGCACCTCAGTGCTGTTAGTATCTTTTCACACTGTTGTCATTAATTGACAGTCTTCTTTATTTTGTGACAGTAGATTTTTGTTGAAATTCTTTTTTTTTGGTACTGGGGATTGAACTAGGGACCTTTCATATGTGAGGCAGGTGGCGGAACCTTACCCAGCCCAACTCTTTCATGATTTAATATAAGATCTACATTGGGCTTCCTCTTTTGGGCCCAGAGTGGTTTCTTCATATCTCCTCTGTCTCCCTGGTGACGGGGTGTCCTTGACTCTCTCTGCAGATGGTGTTTGGCAAGAAGGGAAGGCCTCAGGAGCTGTGTACAGTGGGGAGGAGAAGCTTACGGAGCTGCTTGTGCAGGTGAACTCCAGGGCTGGAGGGATGTGTGTGTGTGGGCACTTTCCAAGTGTACTTGACCTCAGTTTTCTTCCTTCCTTTTGTCATCAGAACAACTTACATAAGAAAAGCTTATTGTTGAATAAAATCATAGAGGTTCAGAAAGGCTCCCTTCATCCTAACGAGCACATAAGTATAATACTGTCAGAGATATTTTCTGGAAAAAAGTAAACTGTTATATTTCTACGCTTTACGGAGATCTTGTAGAGAAGGCATATTACTAGGTAAGGTAGTCTGTCAGTTGAAATTTTTAGTGGTAGATGGATTATTTAGTAAGAAGAGACAAGACAGAGACACAGTCATAATTTCCTCGTATCACGTGACCTGAAATGATTGTAGTCTCATTCAGTGGACCCTTGACTTATGAACTCAGTTCATTCCCAAGGGCTGGTTGCAACTCAGGTTGGTCAGTTGAAGGCTTAGGCTTCTCTACACAGCTTTCAAAGTCTTTCTCCTATATACAGGCAGATCTCAGTGTCCTTAGACATTGGTCCGGGATTTCTCCGTTAACCCCACACAGGAAAGGATGTTGTAAATGTTCCTTCCACAAACTCTTTAAAGGTTAATCTGTGTCTGAGATGATCTGGATGGTTGGCTGGCATTCAAGTCATAACTCAAGACTTTGGAAGTTAAAACTAAAATTCTGGTCGTAACCCAAGTTGTTCACGTCAGGCCAGTTGTAACTCCAGGGTCCACTGTACATTAGATCGTTCTCAGTCTTTGTTGACTTTAGAATGGTCTGTAGCTTCCTCCATTTCTGATAAAATCAAATTGTGTGTGTGTGATGCTGGGGATTGAACCTAGTGTGTTGCACACGCCAGACAAGTGCTTTAGCACTTTGATTATCCCAACCCTAATCAAATTTAGTTTTGAAACCCACTTTGTCACTTAGAATTGGGGTTGGACTGATGATCGCTCAGGTCTTTGTGTGTGATTATTAAGAAACTGCGTAACTTACTCAGTGTTACAGTTTACTTCTATGCTTAAAGTCTTTTAATAGTTCCTCATTTTCTGCAGAGTAAAGCACAGGGTGTTGTGTGGCAGGGTGTATGAGTCCCTCCACGAGTCAGCTTCCTCTCGCTTACCATCCCACGTGAACACTGAGCTCCTGTCTCTGTTTACTAAATCCTCACTCTGTCTTCTTTCCTTCCTCTCTTCATTCCACCTGTTCCTCATGATGAATTTCTATTCACCTCTCAGGGTTCCACTTAACAGACCCCTCCAAAAGCAGTGAACATGTGTTATTCCATCCTTGGGGTCTCTTAGTGCACGTAAATCTGATCTTGCCCTCAGTAACACTAGCAGCCTGTGCCAAGCACTCTACAGTGTTTTGCATGTAGTACGTCGTTTACTTACTTCTAGAACTCTGTAACTTAAGTCACGTGATTATCCCTTTTTGCATGGGAGGAAACTGAGCCTCAGAGTTATTTGATGTACACAGCTAAAAACAACGGGCAGAGCTATGACATCAAAAAAGATCTGTTGGTGTCTGCTTTTAACTGTATACTTCTTCCCTTATCACATTGTAAAATAACTTATTTGTATGTCTGTCTCTTCCACTGTATTTTGATTTTCTTCAAGTTGAAGAACTTATATTAGCTTTTCTAGCTTTCTAGATTTGGGCTCATTACTTTGAAACTTACATTTAGTGCATGAGTCTTTGTCCTCTGCACTGTAATAGCAGTCTTAACTCACATCTTGCATTTCTCACAGGCGTATGGGAATTTTGCATGGAGTAACCCATTGCATCCGGATATTTTCCCAGGACTACGTAAAATAGAGGCAGAAATTGTGAGGATGGCATGTTCCTTGTTCAATGGGGGACCGGATTCTTGTGGATGTGTAAGTATGTGCAGATAGCATCAAATAATCTTAACTTCTTGAGCTTAAAATGGGAGGGTTCCTACATTTCTGGTTGAGGACGTAGCTCAGTGGTAGAGTGCTGCCCTAGCATGCCCAATGTCCTAAATTCAATCCCATTTTTATATGTAAAAAATGAAAGCTGGGTGAGGTGGCTCATGTCCATCTTTAATCCCAGCTTCTCTAGAGATTAAGGCAGGAGAATCAAACTTGAGGTCAGTTTGAGCAGCTTCAAACTGGTCTCATAGATGGCCTGGGATGTACCTTAGTGCTTTCTGGGTTCGGTCTCAGTAGTACAAGTAAATATATGATTATTGTGGAAAGATCCAGGTTGAGTGAGATTTAAAAACTTAAACTTTTTTCTCTTTAAATCAGTATTTTTATCCTCAGCAGTGTTTATTAGGTTCCTTGTCATTCCTGGCGTATTTATTAGTTCTGCTTTGGTGCCATTTGCTACTTTTTATTTTTAGGTCTGTAGTCTTACTCTGTTGCTTCATTGTTCAGTCTTTGAATTCTTGTTTCCTTGAAAATCTGGAGTGAAAAAGTTTTGAGGAATTGCCTTCTGTTCCCTCTGAGCTGGGCTCTTGTCTGAACGCTGCACACACCCACTTTCCCCTTCTCCTTTAGTCTTTTTGCACAGTTACTGTTTTCTTTATCTTGGCCCGTACTGGGGCGGCCCTTTCTAAACGGTCTCTTTGTTCTGAAGAGAAGGTAGTGAGTGGACTGCTTGTCTGCCACCGTCTGATTAGAGGCAGAATGTAGCTAAAGCTTTGTTCTGTCTGTGTTAGAATTTCTGAGTCTGTTCTTCAGAGCTTCTCTTATTTTCTTTCTGCCCAGTCGGGATAGCTGAATACATTTTGAACTTGGATTCTTGTTTTGTTTCATCCTGCACTCCTGAAACTTTCACTCAGGGGGCAGGCATGATATTCTCTTCTCATTTTGCTAATTTTCCTTGACAACCATGTCCACCACTCACTGATCAAAAGAGAAGGAAGATAGGGGAACCCCTTCTGTTTGCTTTTCTGAAGATTTTGGGGACTCAGAACTCTCAGGGTCTTTGCAGCGCCCCAGTGCCCTATTTTCCAGAGCAGGTTAAGAACTGTTTTACTGTGCTTCTGCAGCTTCTGTGCATCACTCTTCCTCTTTTTTCTTTCCTTTCATTCCACCCCCACCCCAGTAACTGGGATTGAATCCTGGACGTTGTGCGTGCTAGGCAGTCACTCTGCCCCTGAGCTGCACTCCCAGCCCATTCCTCCTTCCGTCCCTCCCTCCCTCCTTCCTTCTTTCCTTCTTGTTTATTGAGACATGATCTTGCTAAGTTGCCTAGGCTCTTCTTGAAGTTGAAATCCTATGCCTCAGCCTCCCAGGTAGCTGGGATTACAGGTTTGTACCACTGAGCCTAGCTTGTCAACGCTTCCTCTCTTTCCTTTCCTCCCTCCCTTTCTCCCCCTTCTTTGCTGCCCCTTTGTTGCCCGGTCCCCTTCCTCCTTTGTCCTCTTCTGCCCCTCCACTCCTGTCCCCCTTCTCTTTCCTTTTCTCAATTTCCAATATTTGAAGTTTATTGCATTATCTTACTTCTTTTTCTTTATTTGGTGGTTGTTATTACAGGTTTTGAGTCTTTTTGTTTAGTTTTTGTTCATTACAGGTTTTGAGTCTTTTTATTTGTTTAGTTTTTGTTCATTCTCTCAGCTATTAAGGGAAAGGAACTCTGTGAATGAGTTTCAGTCTTCCATTTTAATATGGAAACCCAACCCTAGACACTTTTTGAGTTGCTGTAATTCAGTCCTGTCAGTGCCATTATGACTTACTGTTTTTTTTTGCTTGTTTGTTTGTTTGTTTTTTGCACTTGCGAAGCAGGCAGCGGAACCACTGAGCTAAATCCCTGGTCCCATTATGACTTTCTTAATGGTTGTGATGGGGATCAGGAAATGTTAGAGTCTGGTAATATTCAGACTTCCATAAGAGAACTAGTAGCTCTGGTATTATTTGAGTCTCTCTCTTTTCCTGTCTCCTTCCTTCTTTTTCTCCTCCTTTAGGGTCTATTTTGATTTCTGTTTCTCTGAAGCTGCTTTTGGTGAAGACAGAGTTCAGTGTTCAGAGGTAGGATGCAAGAAGACCAGGTATTCCTAAGGGTCTTAAACTTTCCTCATTCTTTGTTTTTCAACCTTAATTGATCTTTCCTATTATTAACTTCATTTGCCTCAGTTATAGTGGATGAGAGGCAACAAAGTACCAAGATAAAGTAGGTTCTCATGTGGAACTTTTTGGCTCAGGTAAATGCCAGCAGATCCAAAAAGATTTGAAAGACAATTTCTTAACTTTCTGAAATAAATACGTTTGGGAGTTCATATGTGTGCTAGAAAAACTCAAAGTAACACAAGCAGTAGTTAACTGAAGATGCCATTTTCTTCCCACTTTCTGTCTTTCTTTAGGTATAAAAGGTATAGGGAAGTGGAACAGTTACAGCATTTTAAAACACAGAATTTAGGGATCAGAATTTAAAATTAGAAGTAGAATTTAAGTATTCCTGCTTTTATAGTCAAAGTGCCGAGGGTTTTGCCTAGTAAAAATAATGATGTTGATTTAATTAGTTATTGGCCTGAATGTAAGGAAGGGCGCGCAAAGTGAGTGACCAGAGCTTTGGAAATACTTTTGCTTAGGTCATTTCCCAGATCTTAGTAAGAGATCACTGAGCTGGGGACTTGGCCTTGCGGGTTCTTCCCGTGTTTCCTTCACAGCTGGTTCGGCTCCTCGTGTGACATTCCAAGGTCTTGTGCTAGACCACAGGACGTGGTGCTGATTTGTAGAGCAGGTCTCAACTGTAAGCACTTTGTCTTTCCCAGCATAGAAGTGAAGAAACCTACAAACAAATTATCTTGTGGATGAGGGTCACATGTTTCATGACAGCTTCATGAGTCAAAACTTGACTTAACTTTTCTGAGTAATTGACCACTCTGATTCCATATCCAGTGGTATTTTTGTGCTGTATTTGGAAATGAGGAAAGTTTAATAACCACTGTCTCATTCTATCTCACTGTATACTTCACTAAAGACCAAAGCATAAATTGTTTTACTTTTAATCACCAGATATTAATAGGTGACATTGAATGAATTGCTTAGGGTCTGGTTTTCTTGTCTTTGAGAGGAAAAACCTAATGTTGTTTGACTCTTCAGAAATGGTAAATTTAAAAGGATGCCCTATTAATTCAGTGTTGATAGCCTTGTGTTTGCTTTGAAATTAATTCATTCTTGGATGTTAAAAGATAGCCATGCGGCTGTGACATACTTGTGTTGGTCATGGTTTACTGATCCAGTCAGACGGCAAGAAATTTTGACTGAGGGTCTGTTAATTGTCAGCTACTAGGCTAAGTGCTGGGAATGTTGTCATAGACTGGCCTCTGCTTTTGTGAGTGTAGTCTAGAGAGAGAAATAGGATGACTGAAAAGACTTCTATGTCTTTGTTTCAACTCTGGCAAAGAAATTTGTCTATTATAAATCTGTATAAGGCTAGGCCTGCCTTTAGAAAAACTTTTGCTTCACTTAAAAAATAATAACTTTTTGTGGGGGCGGGGACCAGGGATTTAGCTCACAGGTTCCGCCCTACCTGCCTCACAAGTGTAAGGTCCTGAGTTTGATCCCCAGTACCAAAAAAAAAAAAAAAAAAAAAAAAAAAAAAAAAAAAAA